ACTCTGTTACATCCATGCAACAGAATACTACTTATCAATGAAAAGGAATGAACTGATACATATTATAACATGATAGAATCTCGAAATAATTATGCTGAGAAAAAGAAGCCAGACAAAGTATACTGTGTGATGCTATTTATATAAAATTCTAGAAAATGAAAACTGATCTATAGTGATAAAAAGGAGATCAGTCATTACCTGGAAATGCAGAGCACATCGGAGACTGGGCTGAGTGGGAAGGGATTACAAAGGAGCATAAGGAAACTTTTGGGGGTGATGGATATCTTTGTTATTTTGATTGTGATGATGGTTTCACAGGTGTACATATATGTACATACATATGTAAAAACTTAAAAATTATACACTTAAATATGTACAGTTTGTTATATGTCTATAAAACCATAAAAATGATCTCTGTGGCTGAAAATGAAGCTGGTTATAACTTAATCCAGAGTTTGTGTCAAGTACCAGTGGGTTATAAGAGAAAGGATATACAAGGCTTTGAGGCTGGGGTTAAGGGAAAGAGGCAGGTTAAATAATAGAGACAGGGGCTATTCTTTAGTTGGCTTCTTGCCAGAACTCTTTTTCAGGTAAAGGTTCTGAGAGACTGATTTAAATTTAGTAATGGCAAAAGAAGATTTCTGTTTCAAGGTTACTAATTGGTTTTTAAATTGCCATATGATTATGTTTATATCTTATGAGTATTACATGCATATAGTTTTTAAAAATATGAACTAAGTACCTAAAAGTTTATAATGCAGGCAACGTTTCACTGTTCCAACCCTCCTAATCCTAATCCTCTGAGATTACCTTTCAGTCTATTAACTGTTTCTGTTTAGTTCTTCTATTGACTGCTTCCCTATATACTACTATTTCTTAATTCATCTATTTTAGGCTTTATTAACTTTGTAATTTAATAAATGAGGCTATAACTCACTTATACTATCTCTTGTCCCAATTTAGTTATCATGCTTTTTAGTGCCTTTTTTTTTTTTTTTTTTTTTTTGAGGAATATACTTAGACCTTTATTTCTTGTTTCATAAACTATGGACAGTATCTCTTAGTTCTCTGTAAAAATTAAGAGTTTGTAAAAAGAGGCCATAAGTTCCCTTTATCTCTCTCCCCTACCTACCAATTCTAGTCATTTGTACTTTTCGTTTTTACATTGCCAAGAGTGGTAATGTTTATGTTTTGTTCTACATTTATAATTAACTATCTCTATAATTAAATATCCCGTGCTTTTGTATATTGGTTATTTCCAGAAGTTGAAAATCAATATACAGTGTTTATACTATTGTTAATTATTTAAAATTTTTCTCTCTTCTGTCAAGTGTTGATAGTATTACATTTCTTAATTTGTAAAACTTGTTTTTTTCTGGATTTTCTAATTACCTTTATTTTTTCTTGCGTTGTCTGCTACATTCATAAGTTTCTCTAATTTCTTAAAGATGGATAGGCCTGGCGTGGTGGCTTACGCCTATAATCCCAGTACTTTGAGAGGCCGAGGTGGGCAGATCACGAGGTCAGGAGTTTGAGACCAGCCTGGCCAACATGGTGAAACACCGTCTCTACTAAAAATACAAAAAATTAGCTGGGCATGATGGCGCCTGTAATCCCAGATACTCAGGAGGCTGAGGCAAGAGAATCGCTTGAACCTGGGAGGTGGAGGTTGCAGTGGGCCGAGATCGTACCACTGCACTCCAGCCCAGGTGACAGTACGAGACTCCATCTAAAAAAAGAGAAAAAAAAAAAAAGGATAAAATGGTGAATCCTTTTCCTGTCTTTTTCTTGATGCCTCTCTCTTGGAGCCCTCCTTCCTTCCATTCAGACTAAATGTTCCTTAGGCCTACTGTACAGCTGGGACTTACTTTTATTAGTCTTTGCGATCTTAAAATGTCTTTCTTTTGTTATCAGACTCAATTGATAGTTGATTAGGACAAAATTATAGGCTCGAAATAATTTTCTGTCAGAATTTTGAAGGCATTCCTCCATTGTTCTCTCTAAGAGCCAGCGTAGCTGATCAGGTGATCAAACCATTCCAATTCTTGTTCCCGTAACTATTAATGTTTTTCCTCTCTGGAAGCTTTTAGGATCTTTTCTATATCTTTGCTGTTCTGAAATGTCATAATGTGTGTAGGGGTTGAGCAAACTGGTTTAGTACCCCAGATATAAGGCCTGCAACTCAATAAGCCTCACCTATGTAAATAGAGCCATTATACTGCGGGACCTCTAAATTCCAGATAGTAGAGATCTTTGTTTTAGAACATGAATGCCCACATTAGTTACCTCAATTAGACAACTTATTTAATCTCTTTAGAGAATAACCTTCTGATTTTTTTCTTTGCCTTGGGAATCAATGCCTGAATACTAGCAGTTCTATATGCAGTGGAGGAAAATGATTAATATACAGATTTTCAATGAATTTATCATATTTCATTGTCACCCTCTGCCTTACTTGGCATTTCCAATTTTCAAACTTTTCTGTGATCCTACAAGCTGTAAGCCCCCTCTGTCATTTTATCTGCCAATCTTTATCAGCCAGCATCCTATTGAATTTCTGTCTATCAGAAATGTATTGGGATCTCTTTTCCACTGACTCCCTCTACTATTGTCTTCATTATATCTTTTTTATTGTTTAATGTCATTTTTAAAATTTTTTTATTTTTAATTTTTGTGAGTACATAGTAGGTATATATTTATGGGGTACACGAGATACTTTGATACAGGCACACAATGCGTAATAATCACATCAAGGTAAATGCAGTAACCATCACTTCAAGCACTTATCCTTTCTTTGTATTGCAAACAATCCAGTTATACTCTTAGTTTTTTTAAATGTATAATATTTTAAAATGTACAATATTAAAATGTACAATAAATGATTGTTGACTATAGTCACCTTGTTTTGCTATCAAATATGAGATCTTATTCGTTCTAACTATATTTTGTACCCTTTAATAATCCCCACTCCCCCACCCATTACTACCCTTGCCAGCCTCTGATAACCATCATTCTACTCTACATCCCCATGAGTTCAATTGTCTTAATTGTTTAGCTCCCACAAATATGTGAGAATATATGAAGTTTGTCTTTCTCTGGCGTCTTTCACTTAACATAATGACCTCCATTTCCCTCCATGTTGTTGCAAATGACAGTATCTCATTCTTTTTATGGATAAATAGTACTGCATTGTGTATGTGTACCATATCTTCTTTATCCATTCATCTGTTGATAGAAACTTAGGTTGCTTCCAAATCTTGGCTATTGTGAATACTGCCACAATAATCATGGGAGTGCAGATATCTCTTTTGATATACTGATGTCCTTTCTTTTGGGTATTTACCTAGCTGATATCCTTTCTTTTGGGTATATACCTAGCAGTAGGATTGCGGGGTCGTATGGTAGTTCTATTTTTAGTTTTTTGAGGAACCTCCAAACTGTTCTCCACAGTGATTATTATAATTTACATTCCCACCAACAGTGTACAAGGGTTCCCTGTTCTCCACATCCTCATAAGCATTTGTTATTGCCCGTCTTTTTTTTTTAATAAGAAAACATTTTTAAAGCCTTTATTTACAAAAGCTTTAAAAACAAATAATACCCTCTGTTTTGCAAATAATATTTGTTTAAAAAGGACCACCCAGTTACAGCACTGTAATATCATGAATAAAGAATGTACAAGGGAGACAAATCAATGTGACCAACATTTGGAGATTTGCTAATATTATTGATTGAAGTATAGGTAATACACATTCTAACTTGTAGTCCATCATTTCAGGGTAGAGTTAATGGTTACCGAAAAGTCTTCCTACATCCTACACATGCTCTGGTCTGGTCACGTGTTCTGCATGGTGAAATATTTCACAGTCTCTTTTGTCAATATATGTAAAATAGATTGCAAAGATATACACAAAAAAATAAACAAGCATTACACTCCTCAGGTAATTTTATTAGCTCTCTATATATATTCTCAAGCATCAAAATGTTATACTTGATTGAAGATTTGTTTCAGAAAATATTTTATCCTTTATGTACTCATATATATATGAGTACATAAAATATATGTTATATATATACATATATATGGATTTTGTTGTTTTGTACCACATCTCTTCATTACTTACCTTTGTAGCAACTATGAAAGCACAATTTTTAACTTCTAATTTAATTTGGTACAAAATATACCTAAAGACTTGTTATCTTTGGATTTTAAAAAAATCAATTTGTATAACCAACAAATCAAGAGCATCGTAAGTATGGCTACAAAATGAAAAAAAAAGAACCAAGAGTAAACAGTGATGGAATAAAAATAAGCAGATCAAGGGAAGTGTGCTATCATAAAGTAACTGTAGCTTCAACATCTTGAGTACCAGTTTCCTGGCAGATACTAAATATCCAATCACAAGGGATTTTTCCTGAAGGATGTAAGACTGGTTTGAAAATTCTTCAGTCACAGAGCAGCCTACACATGCCAATTAGAAACTGACAGACACTAGATGTGCTTGGAAGATTAAACACTACGTACAGAAACAGCAGTTACTAAGCTCCTCAGTAGTTTCTTGTCTTTTTTTTTTTAGTTTCGCTGAATCGACAGTTTGCACAATGAATATGCTATATTCAGTGAGTCAAAACCAAGTAAATACTGTGTCAAGTTGGCAGATGGTCATTTTTCCACCTAAGATCAAGTAAAAACAAAATTTCTGATAAAACAGAGGTTTCGAGTCAGAATCACTCTCCAAAGTACAAAATTGATGGTCCACATTCTCAAATAGCTAAAACTCCTGTAGAATGGAAGGGAGAGACACGAAACAGAGAAATAAATTACAGTCAGTGCTAGTTAATTTAGGAAAAGGGAAAAATAAACCAAACTCCCAAGTAGGTAAAGTTTATCAAAATATTCAGTGATGTAGCTTTCCCCACTCTCTGTCACACACGCTTGCTAACAAGTATATTAAATTAAGGCCAAATTTAACCTGAATGAGTTTTTGTTTTGGTTTTTTGTTTTGTTTTGTTTTTTATTAAGATCTGAGATAGGAACAGTCATACTTAGTAGTGAAAGGTAGACAATAAAATGGGCCATGAAAGGGGGGGGGAAAGGTACTGTCTATTGTTCAAGGGATTCAACCAGAGATAAAACCTATATACAAGCATGTGTGTAGCTCAAAATAAAATAAAAAGACTATTTCATGTCATGACTGCTTGTTGGCTTCCTCTTCATATGCATTCCCTGTGCCATTCTGTACATAGGATGAACCAGAACCAAGGCCATACAAATGACCACAATATTTGGCATCATCAATATGATCTTCAAAGAACATCTAAAAAGGAATTTTGAAGAAAAAAAAAGATAATTTTAACCAAAGGGAACCACTTGTAATTTATATTTCAGCAATGTAAGTACTGACTGTTCACTGAGATAATGATGGCTCTTTTCTATGGTGTTCCTTTGAGGCTACACATTTCAGTTCAATGAGTAAAACTAATGTCCTCAAAAGTACAGAGCTCAGAAACCAAAGTAAGAGACTATGAAAAAAATGTACAAATGCATGTCTTTTCCATTTAGACCATTTTTATAAGAATTTGTCATCATGGAAAAATAAATATTTATTCCATTAATTTAACAATACTCGAGTAAGAATGAAGAAAGCCAATGATGGTGGAGAAAAAAAAGTTTAGGTTCATAAGCTGTCTTAAATCTACAGGTAAGGCTGAGCTGGCTATAAATAAACTGTAAAGTCATGGACAGTAAAATCCAAACATTCACACTCTATTACTGTCATTGAAGAAGCCAAGAAAAATAAAAATAAATTAGTGCCAGAAATCCACCTTTAGTTAAATAAACCATTAAGACATTTTTAAAATGCAAAGCTAAAAAATCTAAAAGGTTATTTCAATTATCTAATGAAACAATGGGAAAAACTCCAAAACAAAATGTTTACGTGTCATGAATGGATAGTCCAAATCACTTCTGAATCAACACTACTTAGCAAAACAGCTTTAATGCTTTCTATTATCAATACATTGCTCCAAAAAGTTTTTAAATTCTCAGTCTCAGTCAATTCTTTCATGTCTAAGAGAAAATATACTCAAATCCACAGAGAATTTTTGCAAAAAGGAAAACTTAGAGCCAAGAAAAACCTCACTTGTTTTTGCACAATTTTCCTGTTTACCTATAGCTAGGTGTATCTGTGCATATCACTTAATTACTTAAGAGTGAATAATGGGTTCATTAAGTTTCATTCTTCCATACCTAACATGCCTTTTGCCATTTAAGGAGGGTTTTCCTAATGGGGTTTCTGATTCAACTAGGACGTTGGATTTATTTTATCCCTTCAGAATTCAGCTCCCCTCTTAAGACTCAATCCAGTAAAAAGCCTGAGTCCTTCTCTATAAAATCTTCAAAGCACTGAAGAATGACATGAGCAAATAACATATTTATCACCAATTTAAAGCCTAAAAGAGGGCCATGCTAGAAGAAACCTAATACAAAGATTCCTTGCCTTGTAGAAGCAGCACCAATGGGAGTTAGAACTCCGGAGTTTTCCCACTAGTAATGTGTTTGATCATGGAAGTTATTAGCCTGTTTTCTCACCTGAGAAATAATATGGTTGGACCTACATGATTTCTCAGGTAGTTTATGTTTTAAAATTTTTGGTTCTATGATGAACATGTTCTCCCAGTTCCTTCTGAACTACATTTCAAGATGACTTATTTTTGAATACTTTTAAGTGTAGTGGATGTGACTCATATGGTATCTCTAAATATATCTTTACTTAGTAGGTACTTGTTGCCCAAAATCTTTGGCCATAAGATTTTTAATGTTCTCAACCTAACAACCAACTGAGAAAAAGGCAGTGATGTCTTCATACTTCTCTCATTTTGAAAAAGGCCATTCCTGTGAGCAATGAATCAGATCCTGCCTGATGTTGTGGTCCTATCCGTTCCAGCTCTAACTGTTCTGCCACCTCCTGTAATCCACCCTAGAAGAAATAAAAATTGCTTGTCAAAGAGGAAAATATTGCAACGCCTACTTTCACAAATTACAAACTTAGACACTGACCAAAATAAAAATAAACTTTAGTATGTAAAGGTGAATTTTATAAAGATTGGGGGGAAGAAACAGAGAATGTGAATTACTAATGTATTTGTTGAATGTGGAAACAGTATCATTTAATAGAAAACAAGATCCTAATTGGGAAAATGTATCTTCATTATGTTTCAAGGTGTATGACAAGTAAATAACTTTCCTAGATATGGGAGGGAAGCAGACCATATATAGGGTAATATTTATCAAGTACACTCATGGTCTATCAATCCAGTAATAATTATAAAACTGCATAGCTAGTATAACACCATTGTTTCCATATTTTCTTAAACTTCCCACCATCCATTTGTAGTTTTCACTTAATTTTTACAAAACAAAGCCATTATGAATAACCAAATCATTAAGAATATGCTAAATGCTTAACTATGGTTTTGTTTGTTAAGATGCGTATATGCACACAACTCCTTAGAGTGGTCTGCTATAATGCACCTATGTTAATACTGCTAAGATTAAAAAAGAAAGATGAGAGTGGAAAGAAAGGAAGAGAAAGACAGTAACAGAAGGAAAGAAAGTGGGAGGAGAGGGAAGGAGAGTAAAGGGAGGGGAGAATGAGGATAGAGAGTGAAGTAAAGAAACACCAACAACAAAACAAAAATTCTTCTCTAAATTGTTAAGGCCTTCACCAGCAAAATGGCCCTTCTGTGCATCACAGCTTGAAACAATGCTTTACACAGCAGTTGCTTCTGTGCTAAAAATAGCTCGAGGATTAGGTATCATTAGCAGCTGCTCAGGAGAACACAGAATAGAACTGAATAGAACAGCATGGCTGACTACAGGTCAAAAAGCACCTTTGTTGTTAACCTGAATTTTAACATAGCAGCTTACTCAGGGCACATTCAGAGTATCTGTACTTAGAAACTTCCCAGTAACAACCACGTAACGAGCAATAATTTGGTCCCCTGTTCCTGAAAACTGTCATTATACAGACATGTCAATAAAAAAAAAAGTCAAGTGAAAACATGTAGGCTTCAGCATGTAGTGTGCTTTCACAGGGTGGACTGTTCCTCAAGTAAGGGACACCCTACTGCAAGTTCACTTACTGGAAGTCCCCTCAAATTACACAGAAGTCTACTGCTACAAACATAAAGTAACCTTTCTTGAAAATTTCTCTAGTCATATGCTGACCATATCCCTTGTTAAAGGTAAACACTGGCCAAAAGAAAGCTGCTCATCTTATCTGTTAAGACCAGTGTAACCAACGTGGTGAAACCCTATCTCTACTAAAAATACAATAATTAGCTGGGCGTGGTCATGGGCAGTTGTAATTCCAGCTACACAGGAGGCTGAGGCAGGAGAATCACTTGAACCTAGGAGGCAGAGGTTGCAGTGAGCTGAGATCACGCCACTGCACTCCAGCCTGGGTGACAGAGCGAGACTCTGTCTCAAAAACAAAAAAATTAATGTTTAGAGTTTAAAAATACACATTACGCAGCGTCAGACTGTTACTACTATCTAGGCAGGACCTACACATTTCCCATCATACTTAACTGTAAGAAGCTGACATCTTTTGGCCAGAAAAAGAACCTTTTAGCTATGTAGTTTTATCCTAGGAACATTATCCTATCACTAGAACTGACACAGTAATTTCTAGCCAAGATAAGCCAAAAGGAAAGAAAAACTCTTTTGCCACATTACTGAATACATCTGCACATCTCTGACCACCTTAGATTCTATCTTGTAAGAAGAGATTCTATGCGTGCTGGGAGAAAGAAAGAACTCACACTGGTGTGCATATGAGAGCCTCACTGTCCTGTGATGTTTGTTTTTGTTTGTGATTTTCAATCTGGCAAGCAATGACAAGAATCTAACCTAAGCTAGAAATCTGTTGAATATTCTGCCTTCTGCCAAGACATACTGAAGCTCTGAAAAAACGATTCCCTATAAATTACCATGTATGCAAGAAAAAAAAAAATCACATGACCAGATAATATAATTGCATTTAATGTAATACTGTAAAATATGGTTTAAAACAACATCCCAGCCTAGGCTCTCATGACAGTCCCTTGGTCTGAACAGCATGCTGCTATAGATAATGCCACCTGAAGCCTTACTTTGAGATTTTTGCAGCTCTTCATGAGGTACTTCACATCATAAATTACAGGAAAAAACAATCGAAGGATCTCAAAGAAGTCAAGTTCTTCTTCAGGCAAGTTAGAGTTGGTCAGGATTTTGATTAAATAGCCAAAGTTGTAACTGCTATGAAACGACAACCATTTGACC